GAGCTGGAGTATTGTGAAGCACACTGCCGCTGGACTCTGGAGCAGTGAAAATGTGTGCGTGAAAATTAATCACCTTTCACCACCTGGCAATTAGCCAGACAAATGTAGCTTTGATGGATCCTGGAGAACACTAGGGGTTGCAAATACATGTTAATCCCCCTAGTTTTGGAATGACTTGCCCATTTTTTTACTAAGCCCATTCACCGCTTTTATGATGTCACTTTTACATATATCTGCTTATTCAGCCTACAACTCTTTAGCCCTACCCATTAATGCTTAAGTTATAAGGACTGTTTTGGCCTGGATTGCTTTTTGAATGAAATGCAATGTTGGGCAGTCAATCACAATATCACCACAAGGTCATGTGGGTACAGTAACAAAAAGAGCCTGTTTAATTCTGAGGGATAGTTGGGATGTAAAAAAATTTATAAGGACTGGTTTTGGTACCTAGTGTCAAACCAATTTTGATCATACCTTGGTATTTCCTAGTTGCAGTTTAACTGGTCTAGCAGTAACATGATATTTCTACAGTAAACATGCACCACATAACCCTTCCCACGCACACCTACAATGTGATCTGCCCATCAGCAAATGATTGTTTTGCAGGGGAAAAAGTACATTCATAAGTAAATGTACCATTCCCCAAAGAGTAGTCAGGGAAGGAGAGAGAGAGAGAGAGAGCGAGAGAGAGAGAGAGAAAGAGAGCATGTGTTTATGTGTGCTGTGTCTACTGTACATGAAGGAGCGGGACATTAGGAAGCTGTTCTCATATGAGTGCTATGATATTTATAAACCCCCTGACTCACACTTGTGTTTTTATATGGTCACAGCCCACTTAGCTGCTTTGAACAGCCTAAAAGTTTGACTTTTCTATCACTGAAGGTTTCAGTTTGTTGTTTGGGAACCTTCCTTAGTGCTTGAAGGTCAGTGTCTCCTTTAGAGAGACTGTGTGTGACTGAGACACAGGGCTAAATCTAGCACCTGACAGTGCATTGTGGGTAATGAAGTGTCAGATTCAAAGATTCAGAGATTCAGAGGTTCACTGTCCATTTTAATATGGCTTTCAACAAGCCCTCTTTCAATTGGCCTTGTCATTTCCCCAACTGAGAGAATCCCCAATGCCATCCATAGGGATGTTACAATATTTTTTTAGTTTAAGTGAAGTTTGTTAGACGAGCCCTCAGACAGGTGAGAGATCAAATCAACACAAGTGTCGACTACCACAGCAAAATTTGTCCAGAAATGTTTGTGACCTAAAACAATTCCCTTTTCAAACTCAGAAAGATTGACAAAGGTGTTGAATGAAAAAAGGATGTCTCTCCAAACTTGATGAAAATGGCCCGTATTTATTGCAATGAAAGCACCAACAAAGCCAGTGAAAAGATTCAGCAAAGTCAGATTGAAAATCGAACCTCCAAAAGGGGAATGTTGTGATATAAATGAAGACAGGAAGCTTCCCTCCTGATGATGTTAATGATACTTATTAGGTCATCCTCTATCTGAAATGGCTCTCAACTGCCCACTCCTACTCCCATACTGTAACTGATGCCTGTTGTACATTGTCCAATGGTTTCCCGCTCTAACCGTAGATGCAACACCAGGTGTGGACCTTACTCAATGGATAATCAAGCCATTGAGTGCTGTGGTCATGCTAATCAGACCAACTCTGATTACTGTTGACTGTTGTCATCACTTTACTGTGCTAGCTTGCTGGTCAGCAAGCTAAAGCCTACCTGGCTAGCAACAGCAAAAAGGCCCTACACCATGGTTTTAAACTGAATTAGCTTATAGTTAATGTTTCATGTATGTTATGTTCAAACGTCAAAAGTAAAACGTTCTGCATAGTAAAGTTTGCAAAGCGAAATGAGTCGTACTCTGAGGCTGACCTAGCTAAGAGTGGGTAGTTCTAATGCTGTGTCCAAAACTGTGTCCAATTCACTATATAGTGCACTATTTTAGGGTCCTGCCTTTTTGTAGTGGTGTCCGAAAACATAGTGCAGAAGATCCAGCGCACTCAAACAATCCCACAATGCATTGTAATAAGTTGTGTACAACCGATGCACCCTAGGGGATAGGGGATACCCATAATGCACTACATTGTTTGAAGATTCACAAAGGCGACAGTATTTTCTGTAAGACAGCAATGAGCAAAACCCATATGATGTTTTCTCCAATACCAATTCTGTGTTCTAAATAGTAATCCAGATTTCAGAATGTAGGGTATAGTGATTAGGGGACCATTATGGACACGGTTTCATAGAAAAATCGGCTCATCTGTGCCCTCCTCCCCTTCTGCTAGTGGCCATGATGCAGTTCTAAGTAGTGAGTTGAAGGTGGCCGTATATCAGTTGCATTTTATAGTTGTATGTCTATATATATTCCAAATTAATAAAATAAATCATCAGCAAATCACTATGTGCATCAACAGCATGCATACAAATACATAACAAGTGCCCTTGCCACCACACCGTCTTATCTTTCCCCATCTCCAACACCTTGCAGGCTGCGGTCGATTAGAGTTTTCTGTATGACAACAGGCGATAAACAGCGACGCCTGCTGGTCATGAACTGAACTGCAGGGTCTTTTTTCTAACTCCTCGCTCAACACAGGACAGACTTTCCTTTATTCAAGTCCGCCCTCTAGTGACACGAGGAAAAAATGGATATTAAACGTTTGGTGCGGACGGCCTTTTTACTATAATATTTTACGACTCAGTTATGGCTAACACAGTAGGAAAAAAGTGAAATCCGGTGGTACATTATAATTTCCCAACCAGACATGTTCTCTGTTCTATGATTTAAACCACAATACCAACCATAACCCTCACATCCCATACACCAACAAACACGGAGCCAATTGCAGCTGAAACAAGCTATTAGTGCAGCTATTAGAAACATCTGAATTTGATTAACCTTGCGTTTTTTGAGGAAACCAGTTAGGGCTCATGTAGAACCTCTTAAGGAGAGGTTCCAAGGTCTCCAAGGAGCTGCTGTAAAGACCTCTTTAAATTTTAACAACGTTTTAAGAATTCTATATGGAAACAAAAGTGGTTTTGTGGCTCTGATCAAGAACGTTTTTCTAAAGAACCATCCACTTAGGGTTTCTTTAGGGAAGCAAAAGTGGTTCCTCAATGGCACTGCTCCAAAGAAACCCTATCTTTTTATGTGCGGTTAGGAACTGTAGCCCATCTGTTGCAATGAACAATTTGTGCTGCCTACAGTGGAGCTCAATCCTAGTCCTAGTACCATAACCTTTTTGGAGTTTTAGAGTTTCCTCTGTTTCCAACACACCCAATCCGTCTAAGGAACTAATTAACATACCTGTCAGGAGGTGAACTGGGTGTACTAGAGCAGGGATAGCACCACAACGTACAGGGCTTTGCTACTCCAAAACCAGGATTGAGGACCAACGCTTTATCCCTTCATCAGTGGACAGTTTCTAATCAAAGAGCTGCTCATAGCTGGATATGTTTAGTAGTGAACCTGTCTCATCGTAACAGTGACATGGTTTTGCCTGTTACGTGTCACTGTGGTGCTGAGAGTGATCCTCTACGCAAATATCTGTGATCAGAAAATGGCCTGTAGTGAATGGGATAGAGGTTGGCTGACGAATTGTGTATGGCATCAAGTGGACGACAGTCTGTAATATAGTGGACCTGTAAAGTTTGTGGCCAGAGAATGCAAATACAAGGTAGGTTCCTAATAATGTGAATTGTAAGGGTTTTTTTCTTTTGCTTTGACTATGCTCTATTTTTATGTTGTTGTTCTGTTCCAAATTGGCCACTTGTTTTTCTTCTTACACGGGTGTACATGTTGGTTTTTACATGTGACATAAATAGGTGTGAGACACAAAGGTGTGATAGCTTGCTGCAAGCTCGATGCCACTGTGGTGTATGAGAAATCTAAAATGAATGTTTCATTTTTACACCACTTCATTTTGTTTCACTTAATTTTAGTTAAACCAGTACACATACAGTACTGCAACAGTCGGAGACCATTTTTATTTAGTTAAATTCTGGTGAAAATGATCATTGAGGGATATTTTTCCACATCTCCAAAGTTCAGTCTTAGAGGTTGGTTGCATTTTCTGCTTCTTATGATCCAAGTAATTTAAAACACATTCAATGATGTTGAGGTCTGGACTCTGGGGTGGTCAGTCTATTGAATCTTCTTTGTTTACCTCTTTTTTCAGGCAGAAATATCACAATTTCTTCAGACCTGAAGCAAGAATGGAGGTTAAATATCTCTCAAATATGAAAGCTTTCAGTACGATTTATCTGATGGTGGCAGTTTTGGTGGGCTACCAGTTCTTAGGCGCTTCTTCTCTTTCTCAGTTTTTTTTAAGATTTTAAGATATTGGTATCTAGCTTTGTTCTGTTGACATTCCCCTTCTTTATGCAAGTAGATTATTTTATATCTAATCTCCTCAGAGGTATCTCCTAAAAATAGTCATTTTGACTGGGAATTAAATAAATGAAGGGTAGTCTCTGAACTGTGTACAATACTGCACATTGAAATTAACATCCTGCCTTAATTTTGACCTTTTTTTCATCCATGGAAATGTTTCGTCAGTTGAAACCAACAATTTTGTTACCACATTAGATCATTTTCCTTGGCAGTTTATTTTGAGCCTACAAACGCCTTCAGAAGTTCTGTTACTCCAGCAGCAATTAATACCTGAACTTTAGATATCATTGATAATCAGTTTCAGGGACCCCACCGTAAGGTGAGTATCCTGGAAAAAGAAAAAAAAAAAACAGCACTAGAGTTTCAGTTGTTTTAGTTCCTCACAACTAAGTATGTGTTCAGACAAACCACTGAGAAAGCTTATGTGTCACAGAGTGCACCACGTACACTTTCAAAGGGACCTTTGAGCCTCAGCCCTCAAACTGTGTGTAAGGTGTGAAGTCAGTTAGAAGCTGATTTTCAAGTCAGAAGTCTTTCAGTTCATACGCTGAACTTTATTCAATATTTTGAAAAAGGACAAAATCCCACAGATGTCAGTAACACTGTAGAAGTTGTCTCCAACTTGCCAGACACATCCTGAAAAGCGCTTTTATACATGATAAAGCAATGTAAAATGAAACATAAGACAGATCACATTGGAACTGCTTGAATAGAAACAGCTCTTAACAAAGTAGTCCTATTGAATAAGGTGCAGCAGGAGTATCATCAGCAGGTTTCTGTGACCTTTCACTTTGATGAAGGTGTAACTCAGGTTATTTATTTTATATACTAGATTTGATTTAATATTTAAAGGGTACTCCAGAGAATGTACATTTTCGAAATAGTGAATCAATAAACATTACAGAATTCAGCAGCTGAAGTCTTCTTCTACATTAAAAACACCCTGAAAATCTTTGTATACATGATAAAGCTGTATGGAACGAGACAAATCACAATGAAATAAAAAAATTCATGAAAAAAAAAAAAACTCTAACAAAGTCCTACTTACCCCCTAACGGATCCATCAGCAAGTACAGATTTCAGTTCCTCATTTTATTAACCATAAACCCAACACAACAGTTTCACAGTAGTCATCAAAAAATGCTAACGCTTTATTTGGACAGCCCACTGTAGATGCTTTGCAGAAATATTTGTTTCATTTTCAAGAAAACATCTATTAAACGTTAATATTTACTTTCATTTTCTTAAAATAAGCCTAAACCTAGTCTTAATCCTAAATCTAACCCTAGTCCTGGTCCTAAACCTAACCCTGGTACTAATTCTAATCCTAACCCTGCTCTAATTGAGATACTACGTTCAATCAGTTACAACCCAAAATAATTTCCTAAATAAATAATAAATGAATAAAAAGCCTGGAGTTTAAAGAGTTAAAGACTGAACCCCAGGTTTATTAGTCAGTTATTAATACTAAAACTAATTCAGCAACTACTATAAAACAATTTGAAAGTTATGTAGTTATAGTAGCCCTGTGATGGACTGGCAACCACTCCAGCACCCCCACAACCCAGAAGGACAAGTAGCTTAGAAAATGTGTGTGCATTAGGGTTTGAGGGGGCTAAACAACACTGCATTCAAGGAAATATGAAAGAGCAAAGCTTTGCGATATAGGATTATGGGCAGGAAAACATAATACAGGTTCAGGGGGAGAACGAGGTGGTAGTTTCGGTCTCGAATCCAGCTGAGGACTTGCGCTTGCCACAGGAATATATGACGTGCCTCTGGCTGATACATCCCATATCCTTCATCAGCTTCAGGAGATCATTGCGAAACTTCACTCCAATGAAGGCGTACAAGAAGGGGTTGACACAGCAGCGCAGGAAGGCAATGCCACGGGTCACGTCCATGGCATAAAGGAGGCGGTTGTCATAGTCACAGGCGGTGTTGGTTTGTGTGGTCAGGCCCATCACCACGTTATACGGCAGCTGGCTAGCAATAAAAACGGCCACCACAGCAAAGATGACCTTCAGGGCTTTGTTCTTCTCAAAGTTCCTGGCCTGCATGAGGGTCTTGATGATGCAGCTGTAACAGAAGCCCATGACCAGTGCTGGCAGCACAAAACCAAGGACCATCTGGCTGACTTGCATGGAGATCCTTAGGTCTTCGTGCCCTTTTGTGAATGCCACACAGGTGTTGTTGCCGTTGACGCCGGAGTAGATGATCTCTGGCAGTGAAAAGACCACAGCCATCACCCAAGTGACCATTGAAGATACCCGTCCATATTGCATGGCGCTGGAGCGACAGCGGTGGGCAGACACGGCTTTGGTGATGGAAAAGTACCTGTCCACACTGATGCAGGTCAGTAGGAACATCCCACTGAAGAAGCTGATCTTGTAGATGGCGTGCATGGCCGTGCACGGAAACTGGCCAAGAGGCCATTTGGACATGACGCTGGCTGCCCAAAAGGGCAGAGAGAGAGCAAAGAGCAGGTCAGCCACGGCCAGGTTCAGCAGAAAGATGTCAGTCATCGTCTTAAGCCGCTTGAAATAAAGGTAGGTGAGGATGACCAGGAAGTTTCCCAAGAGAGCCAGGAAGCAGATGATGCTATAAGCTGTGGGTAGGAACCAGGAGCGGAAGTTTCGGTTGGCATCTTTCTCGCACAGACTTACATACTTATCATAATCAAAGTTGGAGGTGAAAAGATCTTCATAATCTGTAGTCACATTGGACCAACTTGTCTGAAAGAAGGTAAAAAAATAGATTCACTTGAATGTTAACAAGAACAGTGCTTGAGTGGCTCTTCAAAACTGGCCCAAATGTTGCCTTTTCCTTAAAATCACTCTGTAATGATCTTGTAAGGAGCTATGGAAATGACATGGAGCTATGGAAATGACTTCTACCAAAAGGGTCATTCCTTCATTGCAGTGACAAATGGGGTATAAATGTTAATATGTAATAAGTGTATAACATAATCTGTTATCCTGAACAACAGCAGTAAAGTTGTAACACCACTGGCAAATTTACTCAAATCTAAGCTTTTCTAAAATGTAGTCCACTGCCACTTTAGTTTCAAAGTCTTACTGAATGTAGCAAGTTACAAAAATTGCATTTATATTGTTTTTTATTTCAATTTTAGAAATGTTTCAAGAGTAACACCACTGACACAATCTTGTGGCAACACATGAAGCTGTCCGTATTTTTGTCACTAACCATGGGGTTATTCTTCCTTTCTTTAAGATATCCATACAAGGCGTAATTCACAAAGACTGTTAATTCACAAAGTTCTGTTTTTTCTATTAAATTACATTTTATTTTTCTTTATACATTTTATGTTATTGCCAAAATATTTTTAATGCAATTTTACAGTATGAACAACAAGCATCAAAATTGTTGTTTCACATAAAAATAACAGCATTACTGACGTCATCGCTGTGACATGCTGTTTTTCATGTACAATATGATAAACAATCACTAAAATAACAAATCAAAAAGGCCATTATCTTTTGGCTATTTCATAGTAATAGAAAGACTCAAAAGTCAGTCACCAGATTTCTGAAGCCTGATATGTTCATGCTATCATTGTTGGTATACTGGAATTGAAATGCCTGACAGCTCATAAAAGGGTATGAAGGGTTGTCTGAGGCAGCTTAAGAGAACTGTGTTGAAATGCACTAAATGTTGATATGCAATACGGCACACAGGGTATGCTTTAAAGGTCTGAACAAGGCTGTTGTATTTATAATAAAATCTGAATCCAAAAGAGGTCATATGCAAAGATTTGGATACCATGGGTGAAATTACATGTTTTGTTGATTTTTGTTGAAAAATCAGAAAATCAGAAAAATAAAATGTGCCACAATCTTCACATTTTCTCCACATTTTCTGTTCGTCCAATGTGTAAATCCAGCAAATAAACAGTAATTGCATGTTAAAATGTGCAGGAGTGCATTCTCTGCAGAGGACGTGTTAACTTTTTTTTAAGTCAACAAAACATGACATTTGACGCCCAAACTTTTGCATGCGACTGTATACCATCAACCATATCCCCACTTTAAAGCTAGAGATGCAAGATCAGGCAAAAGTGTGTCAAGCCTGCTGTGAAAGCAGTGTATGTGTTAGTGTGCAACGTGTGGCTTTAGCATCCTGGTGCAAATTACCTTACCTTAAAGTGGCAAGACCAAATCAACAGAACAGGACCGAAGACTAGCAACGAAAGAAAAGACGAATTAGAAAACAGATTGATACCTAGATGTCACATTTGAGTGATCATGCATGTAACAAAGCTCTAAACATGTGATTGTACCTGCAAAGGCTTTGGGCTGATTTAGAGACATCAAAGTTTTACACTGACCTGCTAAATAGGCCTACCGAGACAAAGTTTCCCTGATATCCATTGAGATATTAAGTTATTTGGCTTTTAAGTATCAGTACTCACCTGTGAATGAGTTCATGTTTTTGAATGAACGTGTCTTTGAAGCTCTCCTTACTACTGGTTAGAGCACAGTGATCGACAATGCTTGCTGTCTGCCCCTCTGCTCAGTATGGAACCACATCTCCTGTCTTTGAAGCCACAAACAGAGGAAAGGGTTTTTTTGCCTCAGCCAATGCTGTTTCGAGAAAAACAAGATTTTCAACATTTATGTGTACAGGGTTTAAGCAGTTGTTGTCACAATTGTTTTTGCCCTTTTACTGGGCTTTTTTATTGTGTATTATTTCCTGTATTATTATCGTGGAAATAACTGTTTTGAGTTTATGTTTGCTTTATGATTTCATGATTATGATGATTTTTTTAGTAATACTTAAAAGCTTGTTTAGATGAATTCTGGTGTAATCATTTTAATGTTTATGAAATTTAAAAGCAGAGGTTATCTATTGCATGTAAATATGCTCACATTTAACCAAAGGACCTCCTGTTTTATCAGTCTGTTTTATACTTCCTTTCTATCAGTATTAGTAAGCAGTAGGTCAAATAGCAAACCTAGCACTGAAGCTGGTTTGGTCCATTGCAAGGTTATACACTGTTAGACATAAAGGTATTCTGCAGGTATATTTTTTGGTTCATCAAGGTACAAACAATGTAAATGTACCCTTAAAGGTGCAGCAGTGGTTTTAAGGTACAATTGTGTACCTTCAGTAAGTTTTTCTCAGGTAAACAGTACATATTTACGTATCTTTTCAAAACCAAATGTTTTGAAACAGAACAATAAAATAAAAAAAAAAGCCTGCCGACGAGACAGCATGTGTGGAGTCAATACAACTTAGAAAATATAATTTTAGTGGATTATAGTACAATTATGGTCCCTGACTAAAGATACTGAGATGTACCCTTGAGGGTGCCACCCCAGTGACAAGAGGGGTCCTGCCCCAGTGACAGTTTTGTGCCTTTATTCTGAGAGCATCGACTAAATAAGCAGATGTCTGGTCAAGGGATGCCTTTGTACCAGTCTTTGGGTTTTTGAGCCAGAAAATGCAATGGCCTAGGGCTGCTACATTGCTGGGGACCTCCGCATCATTGGCCTACATTGACGAAAAGAGTAGATGATTATTTATTTTCTTATTGGACACATTGCTTGGTTGTCGCTGATCATGAAACCAATCAGTGTCACTGACTGAAGGTGGGCCTAAACCTTTTGATATATAAAGAGATTTGATAGACCCATGAAGACAAGGCCTGCTAAATGCGTTTGAGTGAGTTGTAGTCCAGATCAATGGCCTGGCATCCAAACGCACATGATGTAACAAACTTACAGGATGACAACAAGCATTATTCAAACTTCACCAATTTTTCATGCACCGCTTAGATGTGGCCATTTTGCTTAACATAAGATGTGTTTATTAGCTGGTTGTGTCCAGACATTCTATGACCCACAATAAGCAAAACTTCACAAAATTATAACTTTTTAAATTTTTTATATTTAAGTAACTGATTAAAACAATTAGTATAGTAATAGTAATTCACTTACATCCTCAGAAGACACATCCTCCACCAAGTTTTGACTGTGTTTTCTTTGAATACTCTTTCAATCAGATTCATCCACTAAAGAAAAGTAAAGAAGATGACTATGCTGTTGAGAAGCCTGAGGAATGAACAAGAGGCCCTTTGCACATTTCCACATTTTTTCTGCTGAAAGTAGGGGAGCATGGGGAACAACCTAACGTGGGGCACAAATTAACACAAACTTTTTACGTTGTTAAAAAAGGTCAAGCAGTGTGAGCTTCTGGCCACATTACCACATTTCCTAGCCACAGTCTCCAACCAAAATTCCGAGCAATTCGTCATTCGTTTTAAAGAAATCTGTGCCAAAGAGTGATTTCAGGGCATGTAAGTCATTTTTTCAACACAAGTTTTTTTCGGTTACTGAGCTGTTCGGGTAAATCACAAAATCCAACCTCACATTCCTTTAATCACCATCTTGTTGCCAACAATGTAGCACCATTTGGAAGAACGTAACAAGCTCACAGCAAGTATAAGCTGGGCTTAAGTAAAACCTCCATACTACAGGGTTAGCTGTAACATGGCGTTATGAAAGATGAAAAAGAGAAAACATACGGAAACAGGGAATTTGTTCTACTTTATTAGTATATTTCAGATGTTCATTTTTGTTTTTAAATAAGTACATACATCATCTAAACCGCTTATCCTTCTGGGTCGCGGTGGGATGCTGGAGCCTATCCCAGCTGTCATTGGGCGGAAGGCAGGATACACCCTGGACAGGTTGCCAGCCCATCACAGGGCAGACAGACAGACATACACATTCACACACTCACACCTAGGGGCAATTTCAGCATGTCCAATCAGCCTGACTGCATGTTTTTGGAATGTGGGAGGAAACCGGAGTACCCAGAGGAAACCCACGCAGACACGGGGAGAACATACAAACTCCACACAGAAACAACCCTGGTCGCCCGGCCGGGAATCGAACCCAGGTCATTCTTGCTGTGAGGCAACAGCGCTACCCACTGCGCCACCGTGCCGCCCTTTAAATAAGTATATTAATGAAATTGACATTAACAGTTGGTAAAGCAGTAGTTATTCAGAAACAGTGTTCCATATTTTACTTATGTGTGATGCTTTTTATTTGTTGTCTACACCAGACAAAAAATAATTCTTTCATTGTTCAACACAGTCTCGTGTCAGTTTTTGTATATAATTTGATGTGTGTGTATCTATCAATTGAACTGTCTGTCTGTCTTATAGACCTATAATACATCATGCAGTATGGTCGTAAAATATATGTTTCTTACAACATAGAATTATATTGAATTAGCTTGATAGTCTGATTAACTATCTAGCAAGTGTTAAACTAACCATCTGTCTGTTATAATTAATCCCACCCATGGGGTAAATTGTATCATTACGCTTCATGTCATTTTGGGTGGAATTGTATATGAACAGTAGGAGCGACAAACAGAGTTCAAGTGTTCATTTGTAGCAGAGATGTATATGTGGCTTGTATAAAAACACGATTATTCCAACTCATTTTTAAAGGTCTTCAACAAAAAACAGAATGTGTTTGTGTGGCTGTGCCCTGCTCTCACCCACTCACTGCAGGGTAACGCTGCTACCGCTGAAGCCATAACAACAACAATGATGACGAAAAGAGCGTGTATGGTTTACTCAAATGTTTGAGCCTGAAGAAAAAACAGCCTTATCTCAGTTTCAGTGGTTTGTCTGCTGACCATGAGCAGAGGAAAATGGGTTTGCGTAATTAACAAAAGAATAAACTTTGTCATACAGAGGAAACGAACAACTGTGTGAGCATTTCACTGCTGCAGGTTAACGTTACACCGAATGCAGTTTGTGCTTTAAAGTTGCTGCTACAGCCACTTTCAGAGGGACAGTTTTCTCCCCAAAAACTACCAGCACATGAGAGAGCGAGTTCTCAGCAAGGAGTAAATGTTCATTCACTGGAGCCGGTGGTTGTGTCTACAGTGGCACTACGGATTATGATGATAGGCTTATGATGGGCTTTCTGGCTTTTTGCCAACTAGTTTATTGTTAGCAAGCTGTTTCAACATCTCTAGCTAACATGGCTTATCTTGCGTTTTGGCCATAGTTATTTTCACTTATCCATCGATTTATCACTTAGAAGATGTTAACTAGCTCACATTACTGTACCCTCATAACTGTGAATGAATTTTTCCATGAAGCATTTATTTATTTAGTTTGAACTCCCACATTGTTGTGTGTTTGGTTGTCCAACAATTCTGGACACATCCTCGAATATCAGTCTTGGTAACTATGACAAAGATAAAGTGACACACCTTTCTGTGGTGAGCTGAAGAGATAGAAATGCCTGTATTTCTGAGGTTATTAACTGTTCATAAGGCAATAGCACCTTCGTTTCTTGCAAAAAGGTCCTATTATCCTAAAAAGCAACAACAAAAAAATGCCAACTTGAGTGCTATTTCGCTTGACTCGGAGGAGTTTATCCTCTGAGTCTGAGTCAGTAACCTTGGTCTGAGCTAGATTAAATAAAGCACCAGGTTGGTTAATCTTTGCCTTCTTGTTATTCATCGTCTACAATACATTATGTTTTAACACAGGTCCATGACAAATAGAGGACACTAAATATTCTAAATATATCATGTAAAGTTGGTGTAAGAAAAAGAATAACGGCATGAAAAACTGATTTTCGAGGTGGCAATCATTTTTTAATTGAACAGGAAAAATGAGCAACACTGGCGATTAGCTATTGTGTATAAACTGATTTGCATATTACATCAAATTTTACAATCAAATTTCCTTTTGAATAACTGGAGATGCATTTGATTACCAAGTGTAAATGCTTGCGGTTGTAACTCTTATCAGATTCACATGAACTGACAGGAGTAAATGACATGAAGTAATTGTGCGCAAGAGTTTTTTAATGAAAATCACACCTCTCTTCAGTATAGCTCTCATTGTAGTAGGGCATCAAAGCTTCACATGCAAATGATTCTCACAGTGGCATAAACCTCTGCAGAACAAGCGGTGACCATACTGGCAAACAACATCAGATTACCCTTTAATCTTTGAGAACCCCCCTCCCTAGCACCCCAGTTTTGGGTGTGCTCAGGTATACACTTGGCTGCACGTGTGCAGCTGCGGTCGGTGTGTAGGCTACACTGCTGCAAGGAAAGAAGCAGTGACAGGAAGAAGTGCACTAACCACAATCCAGGTGAGCCATGTGACCACTGAGCCATCACAAAGTGCTCTTAAAAACACAGCCGAAATCTGTACTCATGTACATATGCAGATACAGATTTTTCCAGATTTGTTTCTATTTTAAGACTAATAGTCTAAATGCAATGGCCTGTATGCAGTTACTCTCAGTGTTTCATGTAAATATTTGTGACAAGGCCCCCATAATTTTGCACCACTGGAGAGAAAAGCATCATAAATAGTAAAATGCAAATTTAGGAATGAAAGGCAAGGACAATACTACGTTTGTTTCACCTCAGTCTTATCTTTTTTCTGGAAAGGTATCAGCACTGCATATCTCAGGCACTGAAGTGACACAGGAACTCTTAAGCAGGTCGATCAAAGGAAAAAGATCAATGAAAAAAGAAGAGAAAGTACACGACCTCCTTTCTACAAACCACATTTTATCTTTTAAAAACACTTTCAGTTTGAATTTCTTTAATTACGTTTAGCTTCCATGCACACTGTGGACAATAAACTCAAAAGAGATCTAAAATATTTTAAAACATGGATTGGGTTACAGTGGTTTGCAGTCTGCACCAGTTTGCTGCTTTCCATTGTTCGTTCTGATAGTGGTAGAAATGGAAGGTCTTTGTCATTTTGAGAAATGCAGCACATTTTGATGTTCCAACCAGTAAAAAAGGTAAAAATATCTCTCCACATCTACATTTCTGAGGAACTGAAAGTGACAATGCCTGACGAAAACAAATCAAAGGGGTTTTTATGATGTTTCTGAATTGCAAACATGACTGATCATCACTTCCATGTAAAACACTGGATGTATAGGCTTCATCATGTGACTACAAAACCTAGACAATGATTCATATCACAGATGTAGCCTCTGCTCGGCTGGTCTTTCTTTAAAAGTGTGAAGCTTCCAAAAAAAAAAGGAACCTCACAGGACTTGACAGGGAACCAGTTCTTATTTGGGGAACCGACACATTGATGTGGGTATAAGCCTGTTATTTGTGTTCTCTAGGCCCCAAGCCAGGGCCACAGATTTGAATACCCATTTTTATGACTTGATAAGAAAGGAGCTGATCTTAGAACAAGTGTAAGGTAAGCCTGTTCATTCTTATTACTTCAAATGCACATTAGTCTGAACATAAACTTCACAACCAGTGTTATTACAAGACAGTGTTGTGTTGGTTTATTATTTTTAAATCTTTTTTTATACATTTTTCTTTTCACTAAATTGTATTGATTTCTTCTAAAAGCAAGCACAGAAGAAAGTGTACAGTTTAGCTGGTCAGGGATCCACTTGGGAAATAAAATAAAAGTACTACATTCAGTAGCTTCAGTCTTGTTGGAGACTGGGATGAGATGGGACTGATAAAGCTTTCAGTGCACAAGTTATTCTGAAATTAGTTATCATTATCACTATTATTACTGTTAATATTTATAATTGTTACAAATATAATGCAATATGTATAGAGAAATTCCACTGATTTTTCTAAATTCTATTATTGAGATGTAAAAAAGACATTCAGAGTGATTTGATGTGAAACGGTTTATCGTAGAGAAACCTTTTAACAGATTTTATTCACAATTGTGGTTATAGGAACCAGGGGCTAAAATGTTTACAACACAAACATGGCCATTTTATTTGCTATCCAAAATGAACATTTTTATACACGTTTCTATATGTAATGTTGATGATGGTAAAATAGTGGTAAATCTGAAAAACTAATTTTTCTTTGGGGACCACTTTGCCTTATAGTGCCCTGCATGTACATTTTCATCGTGAATGTGCTATAAAAATGTGGTTTTATGCCAAAAACTGATCTCAAAACTATTGTAAAACAATATCTCAGGTTGTATGCAGTGTATTTGTAACCATTTCATGTAATAACTTTCTGTGAGGGAGCTTTAAGAGTTGTTACTCAGTGGTCTGGTGGACCCATCGCATTATTGTTAATCAATACAGTCATGACAGTTTATGTAAAAATACCACATTTAAAATATCATAAGTGTCCAGCGTAGGGTTCTCCTTTAGAAGCTGCAGCCAGTAAGCAGCCTGTCCATATTGTCCACACTTACACACACACACACACACACACACACACACACAAACACATACACACATACTAACAGCAGGCCATGTAGGAGGAAAACAGAGTGAATAGACACTTTATTCCCCACAGGTTCACCCCAACACATAAATGTGTAGGGGGTGAACATTGTGAAGTCACTGAAAATGTGTTATTTTATATGTTCTTCACAGAAAATGAGCAAAGGCCAAATAATCTGAATAATAATAAATATTTTTTTCATTTGGTAAAAATTGAAAATGGGTCCCACAGACACCCCAACACCACACAAGGGTGAAACGTCTGGTTTCTATCATCGCCACTGTGAGCAATTCTGACTTGATAAGTTTCACTAGTACAGCACATTTCACCTTAAACCGCTCTGCATGACTTTACAGCTTAACAGTTTCATTATGTAAAAGGTTTTTGGTGGAATTCCCCCCTAAGACTTAGTCCAGTGTGACTTGAATTGTGAAAAGATATTTCTGTACATGCTGAAAACCTCTTAAACATGAAAATTTTTCCATTACTTTTTTTATTAATATTCAGCAGTCCATAAATGTGAGAGACACATGATATTTAATATAAGGTACAAAGAAATGTGCAAGAACTATATAAATATCTGTTTGTGTGGCTATAACGTTTAATACATTAGTAAATATACAGTAAATAATCATAGCTGAAAAAGTATAGGCAGATTTCATTTGAAAACAAAAAAAAAACATTTCAGGGTAGTTATCAGAATTTGAGTCACACTCTTTTCAACCAAGACAAAAATAATAAATAGATAGCAAGTCTATGTATTTATGCATGCCATTTCTATGTTGACATGCACTTGTCTAAGAACATACAGGGAAAGTATAGAGGAGTAATCAGAACTGCTTGTAGCCTTATATCTGACAACAGAGAGTGACATTCCAAGCTACTTGAAAAGATGTTGGTGCATTTTCTGAAGTTCATATATTGTTTGTTAGTTAGTAAAGATATTAATATCTGAAGTGCAGAATTACTCTTCCACAGTACAGATTTTACTTTACTGCTAAGGTTGGGACAGCTAGCTTGTATCATTCAGTCAAGTAGACCTTTTGCCTCTGTTGGCAAGGTATGTCCTGTGCAAAGAAATGTCATACAAAGGTAAAACAGTTTTGGTTCAATTAAAATGACCCCTCAATCTATTCTCCTTGTTCAAGAGTTGCAGATTATCTAGCATTAGTTATGGATTAACTGTGACTAGCTACATGTACTCATAACTCATGCTTCACTCAAGAGTCTCAGGCCAAACCCAAAACCCAATCCCTATTGGATACACAGGGTTGTGAAGACAAGCTGTTGGCACAGAAATCCAAACACACACCCACTTGTCAAACATCTCAATCCCTTTTGGAACACAACAGAATGCTGGGTGGCTGTAGGGGGTGCCACTGAGCAATCTCTACAGTATGGATAAAGTGATTTTATTTTTCTGACAATGAGAACTTGCTCCACCATCGCTTGCTAACTCCTTAGCCACCATTGCTGATCATGCCAGTGGATGTGCTACTGTCCCTCCGTGCATCTATGCCAAGCTTTTGCAGGTCCAAGCCCATGCTGGCTAGCACCTGGAGCAGGGTCATCTCCTGCTGTGTGGCCTGGTCGATCAGCGCAGGACAGGTGGGGTTGCACTGAGGCCATTGGCAGGTATCGATCAGGTGGAAGGGGCAGCCTTTCAGGGCAGTTTTGCTGTTCTTGCTGGCCTCTTGAAGGCTCCTGTCCCAGCACTGCAGGGCGCGAGACAAGGATGTGCCCTTCACCTGGAATTCCATCCAGTTACTGAAAAAGAAGCAAAGCTGGACATGAGTGATTGGGATCAGAAAGGGATAAAGAAGATATGAGCTTGATGTGAGATCTTGTAAAGCAAGATTGGTATAATATTTAGGATTCATTCTCTGGCTGTCCCAGAAATTGTAGCATCATGAATAGACTTTTTTTTTTACCACAGTCAGCTTTTTAACTTAGCTCACTAGGTAAGTAGTAGCTAATGCTAAGAAGTAGCACAACTCAGCTAAATTCCCATACTCAGCAGAAACAGCTGAGTCGGCTAATGCTGTTTTTACATGTTGGCATTGAAAAAAAAATGTTGTGTGCCTCACTGCAAAATTGGTGTAAAACAGTGCTGGTGCATGACCAAAGACACCATGCAGCCATGTAACACTGCCATGGTGATAGTGGCTGCTGAATAGGGAGCTTTGGAGGTGATTTTCATGTGTTTACGGTGAAAAAGGCATTAAGATGCAAGAACTTGCCACCTTGGGTTCATCCTGCAAGGAGAATTACATTTTCTAACATTTTCATTGTCCTTTAAAGTTAGAAATCTAGGGGACCGGCTTCCAAGTGAGAAGCGTTATAAACACCCCTTACTCCTGAGACCCCGCCACCAGCACACACACTGATAAAAAACAAATAAATAAACACAGTAAAATAAATTAACTTTGGACAAAAGCATCTGGTGAAGACATAATAACGATGCGTAGAGAAAGAAAATCAATTACTACAGCTCTTTTCTTTGAGCTGTTATCCCTGCAAACCAGTAGTGTAGTCTAAAAAAATTGCAATTGTGTTAAATTCTATTAAAAATTATTTTATCAAAAAATATTATATTGTTACAAAAATACCTAAAAGTTACAGTGACCTGTCACTTAAACCTAACCATTCCTAACATTTGCACAAATTTGAGTATTTGTGTTCATAGTGCTGGTTCAAACTGAAATCGTTTTTATGACCCCCGCAAAACCCTTATGGTCTATTCCACTGCTTTGCGTGGCTGGGCCCAGCAAGGGGGCAGCTGGCTAGGTGTGTGAAAGTGTGAGGTGGCATTCTGGTGACACCCAGAATGCGATATGATGGATGAGTGTCCAAAAACAGCAGCACGAGTTCACTGTGTGGAGCTAGGGTGTCCTTACCTTCTGGTGATCAATGTGTGAGACAGGCAGGACGGGGCAAACACAGCCCTGGAAAAAACATACAGTACAAAGCTTTCAGCACAAGTGAGAGGCAGGGCCTTGAGCATGCAGTCCTTAAGTGCACTGATCTTTGTAGAATTCCCACTAAGGCTCTAACGTCCTCAGTTAAAGGTTTATTTCACTAAGCACGCCACTATTCAGACCTGCTAAAATTGCCATTAATTATTCATTACTATATCATGCTTTTTAGTGCTTTTTTGGATGAGGTGATCCTCAGAGCAGCTTCTGTGATGGTAGGGCACTCACGTAACATCTTTGAGGGAGTTTTTCAGCTCTTTTCCCAGGTTCTGCATGTAGGTCCACTGTTGCTCAGAAAGGGACTGGCCACCCATGTAAATGTTCTCGACACGCAACTGTTCCTCATCAAAGAGCCACTGTACCACAAACAGTGGCGCTGCAAAACAATACATGGACTTTCTAAGTTGGTCTGTAGCCATTAAGGTTACTGAGTGATTGTATTTCTATCACAATAAATTATATATATGAAAAAATAATTTTTTGTCCGCCATGGTTTGAAATTCATTCAGAGATATTGTGAAAAATATATTTATCTGGGCCATCTGGGCCAAGGACCAAGGTGGGTACCATAACTGTAGCAATAACTGTGTACCATTTATGAGCTGGATCTGGCCCACACCTTTTAAAAATGCTCACTTTACATTGCATGAACCAGATCTGAACCATAGCTCTATTACAGTGTATGGGCCAGATCTGGTCCACATCCGTTAGTCCTACTGACTTTTACAGTATATGGACCACGTCTAGGCCACATCCGTTAGTCCTACTTACTTTTGTAGTATATGGGCCAGACCTGGGCTACATCCATTAGACTTACTCTTACAGTATATGGGCCAGACCTGGGGCACATCTGTTAGTCCTACTGACTTTTACAGTATATGGACCACTTCTGGGCTACATCTGTTAGTCCAACTTACTTTTATAGTATATGGGCCAGACCTGGGCTACATGTGTTAGTCTTACTCACTTTATAGTATATGGGTCAGAGCTGGGGCACACCAATTAGTTCTGCTGATTAACAGTGTGTGGGCCAGATCTGGGCCAAGGACCCAGCTGTATACTGGGCAGAACAAAGCCAAACGAATTTTGTCAACTGGGCATTTTGATATACTTCGCCCATATATTTTAAAACATTATATACTTACCATATATTTTAACGTGTACATATAGGATTCTTCTATATGAGAAGGTTTCAATATATGCCATTATCCATGCCTAATATCAAATAATCATTGGGCTAGAGGTCTGGTCCAATAAACTCAACCCCTCTCTCTCTCTCTCTCTCTCTCTCGGCTAAAGATAACAGAAGTAGTCTATATTTACATCGGAACAACAACGCACGTACCACATTTAAACTCAACTGAAACACACATGGGGAATTAATAAGAGCTGAACTGTATTTTGTCCCACTGCAGTTTCAGTTTTCAGTAGTTCAGTAGTTTTTCCCGCTTCGAGTCACTCTGTGCGCGCGCGATTTGGTTGTTAGGTCCGTTTTCGGTTTGGTTGTTAGTTCGTTTTTCGTACACAGACTCGGAGTAAAACTTAGTTAAAAACTTGGTGAGTGAGGTTTTCTTAACAATATTTAACGTCTACAAACATATATCATGATACATAATAAGTTGCTAGCACTGCACAGACGTTTTACTCAAAAAGCTCGAGTTATTCTAGCGAGTTAACCAGATAGCTAACATAGCGTTAGCTAGTTAGCGTAAATTTTACAGTTATTTGGCTAGTTCAGCTAACGTTATCAAGCTAGCTAGCGTTATACGTATGGGCGACCATAGATATACATGCCTATATGCCGCGTTGTCTGTTGTTCTCTATCTGAGGCGATACGTCTGCGCGTCCACCATGTTGGAGCGGTCAAGATCCGTTTGTGAACAAATTCACTTGTATTGGGAGACGATGAGTCTCAGGATTAAATTGGCCACAACTTCCTTATTACTCAACTGATTTTTACCAAGTTTGTTTTGTTATAATCCTCAAACAGAGATTAATCTCGGCTGAACGAACTGCTCTCAGTAGCCTTTATTTCTTTAATAACTGTATATTCAGTCTGTACCTGACGTGGGTTTAGCGCGAGCTCCGGTAAAAACACAATCAGCAAATCCATCAGTGCGTGAATCACTTCTAATCTTTATACACAGAAGGACGAAGCTAAAGTTGGCTTCTTATTTGCCAGCTTCTTGTTCGAGAAAGTGACTGCTGCACCATTTAAGGTGGAACGGGAAAATTCGAACAAGAAGCTGGCTGATGCACCTTTTAAGGTGGAACGGGAAAAAAACAAATACTACATAAGGTTAAGATCCCCTGAGTAGACTATTAAATAAGCTTAATATAAAACCAGAGGAAAAACAATCACATCAACAGGTTCGCTGCGTTCCCTCCGTTATATAATCCTATCCCGCTTTCTGAGAGCAATATTCTTAAAATATTATAATTTTGGACAGTATCTTTCTTAAACTGCCGCTCTGTAATGGTTCTGATGCAGTCCAGCAGCGTTGTTGACCGCCCCAAAATGGTGGCGCCGTCGACGTGCCTGTCTGGACCCAACGCGGCATCTAGATTTGTATATCTATGTGGGCGACAGTGTTAGTTAACGTTCGTTAACATTGGATAACATCGTTACTGAAAATATCTCGATATTAATTGCGGTTACATTTTAGGTTGAGGTAATGAAGTACGTATGTGCTGATTCTGCTTTATTTGAGTGAATGAAAATACGTGACATAAGTTCATAACGACGACTTTTGAGTGTAACGTTACATTTCCTTTATATTTAGGTTTTGTTTGACTTCATAAAGAACACTTTAAGATGATGATGAACAGTGAACATTTTTGAGAGGGTACTGTGAAAAAAAACATTAGGGGCTGGTTTTCCTGGATATGAATCTGGTCTTGGACTAAACTACAAATTCAGTGGTGTTTCACCATTTAAAAACCCATTTTGTCTAGACTTGGGCCTCATCTGGGTCTGGGAATCTGACCTGAAGAGTTTTAATAATCATCTAAAGATTCTTTATGGAGCCAAAGTGATTTTTTCTGTGGCATTTATTACAAAGAGCATGTTTTGGTTTCACTCGGCACCTTTATATTTAAGAGTGTTAGTGTGAGATTACAGCTGCCGATGCCCATATTGAAACATTTAGGACTGAAACGTAAAATTAAATGACTCTGGAAGAACTCACAGCTCAAGAAGGAGTACAGTTTGTGTCCAAAAAAGCATTGCCACTCCTCGCCTCTTTTGTAGTGTTGCCTACACTTCTCTGGAATAACTCCATTCCATAACCTGAAAGAAAGGGCAGTCATTTTACAGTTTAAACCTTGAAGTAAATATAGTAAACAAGAGCTCTGTGAACATTGTGTTGGTGCAGTGTTCAGAAAGAAATACAAGTCCATTACACCTTACCGGATCCCTTTTTTAATAGCATCAACAGGAGAGCAAGAGACGCTGTCTGGACAGTCAGGGGCCTTTGGCTGCTTGTTCTCCAGAAACCATCCAGAATCGACGAGGCCTCGGACCTGCGTGTCCGCCCCCAGCTGCTCCAGCTGACTGGCCACTTTCTCAATGTTGAGTAGCACACCTGTTCCCCCAGCACTGCAGGTAAGAGGGAACTGTTCTGATTGATCCCTTTTTTTACTCTCAAACGTAGTCGAAACTCACCCTGGCTAACACAAAACACTGACTGGCATTGTCTTTAGTGTGATACAGTGCCTTTCCTATGTAACTGTGTGCATGACTACATGTTCTTTTTTGGCACTTGCAGCAGGATGACAGAAAGTGCTACTAACCCCTGAAGAATCTTTAGAACTCTCCCTTCATGGCAGGACATACATAGATATTATGTCATTGTCCATAGCATCATGAGGCACAGTATACATCTTTATGGTAGACAACATGATGGGCTGAAAATAGAGTTCTAGTCAGTGTCACATAGTGTTATGTGTGGAGGCAGTGGTGTGGTCAAACTGGGCCAACAGGGGGTTTGGTCCATACATGGGGATAGGGTTTCATCCCTTTGACGTAATGCCTCTGCTTCTATTGTTTCCAGCAACCTGTTAAAAGATCTAAATACGTCTTGACAGCTATATTGAGTCACTTTGTCTGGCAAGCTAAAGGAGATTCAGTTCCATTTAGATATCAGCGGATGCATGCTTTGTGGTTCTCATAGTACACTGATTAGTCTGAGATGTTTATTTTTTCTTTCACTTCCTCATGTATTATTTGAAGGCCCCGAGTGAGCGCTTACCTAGTTCCAGCCAGCATCACGACCTTGGCCTGTTTTAATCCTTTTGATGCAAGGTCTTTGATCATCTCCCGAATGATCACAGATCCCATGAAGGAGTATTCTGACAAAGAACAGACACACACTGAGCTTGAATAATCTTGTAATCTTTGGATGGTGAACATTTTTAATGAAATTTAGTGCCTGTCAGAAGTGGACATCTGGCCTTTCAAATATGCAAAATAAATGAGCCTGTTTTCTTTGTTGATGTGCAATAACAGCATATTGTAAATGTTACAGTAGAGAGTTGTATAGATCTTGCCATTTTCCTTCCTTCCACTGTACAAGCAAATAACTGTTTTAAGTTATTAAAACCATAGCAGGTATTTTTTCTTACTTAATTCAAAAGTAATTCAAAAGAATGCAAGATGTTCCCAGACCAGGATTGGCACTGTATCATTGAACTTTTTTGAACAGTGTCTGCATAATTAAACAATTCAGATGTAAGTTAAGTCATTCAGAATGGTTTGACATGAAGTATGATGTTCTAGAGAAACTTACTGAGTCAAAATTGTTCATGGTGGTGGTGATAGGAACCAGATGTCTGAAGCGTTTAATGCTACTAAAAGCTACCTCACAGAAAGTTTTTACATGAAATGTAAACCTATCTTTGCAAGGCAGGTACATGAAATGGTTCCAAAAACACTGCTTGACATTGTTTTACAATAAATTTGAGAAAAGAAAAAAATAATACCTTGATGTATTTTTTAAGATTTACCACTATTTCACCATCATCAACTCTACATATGAAAATTCAAAGGATGTGTGGGTTCACTAGTCATTTTGGATAGCAATTTAGTGCGTTATTTAACTGTTAAGATGTTAACAAACATTGTAGTGAAGCCTTCCGACTTGGATGCATTGGAACCGGGGGTCATGATGTCTACAACACAAATAGGTATGTTTCTCTACAATGCTTGTAAACATCTAAACAGTTGAATTATGCACTAAATTTAGAAAATTGTGTGGAATCCTCTTTATAAAATAAAGAAAAATCACCTGTTTCTTTGCCCTGTTTGGCTTTTGCTGCTGGCTTGTTACCGCTCCACACATCACTAGAGCAGTAGGGCACGAACCTGGTCACAGATTGCACACAAAATGCAGTCAGGTGTAAAAATAAAATATGGTATGTGCTGAGTCACTCAGTTGCTGTTGCACTTTTGCAATGGAGGAACTTACACAATGTTGGCATTATACCAGTGAGGATTTTCATCAGCTTGTGCAGAAAGAATTCCAATCCCTAGAAAACATCACAGCACAAAGTGTTCAGGTTCACACACTTCCTAGTGTCTGAAAAAAGGTTTTGGCCTGAAATATATTTTTTAAAAATACATCTTAAAAAGGGATCTTAGAAGTGAGACTGTGGGCAGGAGTAGTGTTAGCACAACAGAAAGTGCTGATGGCAGCCTACCTTTCCGTGTCTGTGGCCAGTCAGCTGAGCTCATGAGGCGAGGGATATTTTTATATCTGGAATCGCAGGTCTCTTTGTTGTAGCAGCACCAACCACCTAAAAATAATTCACTAATATTAGCCGGACATCCGGTTTGACAAGGATACCCCAGTTAGGCTTTTGTTCAGGCTTTCAAAGTATGGACCACCTGCATTGGCTAGGCAGTAAATGCAGCAGCACTAGGCATGACTGATGCTGGGAAGTGTAAGTGTATTAACCCTTACAGTGCTAAATAAACTCATGAAGCACAAATTAAGCTCTCAAGGCCAGTTTTTCAGACCTAAATTAAGCCTAAGGGACTTTCCAATGGTAAATTATCATTGACACTGCAGTTTGTACAAGACAAGGATTAAACCTGCCTGGCTTAGTCGAATAAACAATTACAGAGTTTGAGTCCAAAAGTGCTCTTACATTCTAAGCGAACATTCAACGCTATAAATGTCAATTTAAGGCTATAAAACTACTTAAACCTGCTTTTGGACATCTGGATAAGAAAGATAGTTTTACTGCGTATTATATCAAGAGTTATGAAAAAAATCAAACAAAACAAAAAATAAATTATACAAAAGTGCTCTGTCCAAGCATGCCAGTGCATGTCCACAGTACAGTTCTTTTTCCCTTGTAAGAAGCATAATCGTATAGGATCTCAGCAGGGTTTCCTCCTTGTATTATTGAATTGGCAGAGTTAATCCAGCTGCATGGCAGGTTGCTTTTCCTGCCTGGTGGTGACACCGTAAATCTTATGTCTAAATACAAGTGAAGCTACACGATGTGACTCGCTCCAAAAAAGCAAAAAGAGCATGTGTCTAAGAAGATGACCACCAGTCAAAATAACGCTGAGCAGCGCATTTAAGCCTGCTGACTCTCCTTGACAAAATTAACTTCGTTTTAAATACTCACCCTCCAGAAATATCAGCCACCTCTTGCTTCCTTTGAACTCCTTTAGGTAAAACCTGTGTACCACAAATAAATATAGATGGGGTTATGAGTGGATGACCTACAGAGAACATAGCCATATCAGGACATTTTCTTAATGGTTCCTGTCTTTTACCAACAAGAAAGTATTTTGTACATTGATACGCCAGTCTGATAAAAGCTGTCAATTACAATCTGAAATTTAAATAATATCTTTAGTTCATCATTAGTTTATGTCATACACTAATAATCTAATGTGAATTGAATCTGTGTGTGCTAAAGTAGTAATGATCTGTGATAAGTTAAAATTTTATGCTGAAAATTTCCAATTTGTTAACCCCTTAAACTAAAGATCCATCAGTGGGTGTAGACTTTCTTCTTTTCGTCTGATTACTACGTAACTTATACCTTTGCTTCATAGTGGTTACTATGTAATTTATAATTGTTACTAGATAATATGTCTTAATATTAATAACTGAATAATATGTCTGAAATTGAGGATAGGGGTAAATCCAGTTAATCTATTCAGTCCAGCTTCCTTTGAGGCATAATAACGATTTATTCTTTTGACCTTTAATACAGCTTAAATCTGAGGTGAAGATGCCTTCTTGATGTTGTGGTCTCACCCAGCTGCAGTGCCGTCATTGCACATGGCCGGTGTGTTCCTAAGGAAGTGCAGCTTCATGTCTTCAGCAGGCTTGGTGGTGGATGCTCCCTGCTGTGTCCCTCCACGAGCTGCAGGAATGGTGTCTTTGCTGGAGCTGGCTGCAGCTCCTGGTCCAGGGTGCAAGTCTTCATCTGGGGCATGCTGGGCAACTTCAGCTGTCTGGGTGCTGCTGGCTTTTTTCGCCGGTTTGCCACTTGGCTTGGCATTGCGGTTATTTTGGCAAAAAATGCCTCCCAGCATAACCAGGAATATCACATGGCATAGAATCCGCATATCAAATGCAGCAGGACCTCCTTGAAGAAAAGAACCAATCAATAACTTGTAAAGATGTAATGCTTGACTTCATGAACAAGTTCCTCCTCAAGTAACTTTACTCCTCAATTTACTGTACTTAATAATAGACATAAAGACCATAAAGAACTTGAAAACAACAGAACTATCTGGTTTTCAAAGTACAGGTTTGCAGCAAAAGGAACATACCCCTTGGAAGCAGTCGGTCCTGGTCACCTTGATCTCTGGAGGAATCTTCTCTACAGCAGACCACCGCGGTCGCTACGGAAGAGGCACTTACTGAATTGATGGTTTTTGAAGAGTCCTGAGTTGATCTTGGACTATGGATGTGCTCAGTGCTAGGCTTTATAGTGCCACCATATGGATTGCATTTCCCAGCATCCCCTTTGAGCCAGTGCCAGCTCAGGGCTGTAACTGATGACCCACCAAGGCTGGACGTCTGATGCCGAGAAGAAAAGATAACAGGCACTCTACCAACCATATTTCAAAGACTACTCCTCCCCACCTAACTGGGTCCCATAACAACCCCTCCCTCGCTAAAGGCTTAGCTCAGCTTTGATTTAAACACCTACATGGCTGAAATACCTGCGCAGCCCTTCAGATACATGGTATGCAACAGGTCAGTGGGTCCTGCTAGCTCCAGTGAGAAACAGCAGTGCCTAGCACACCACACAGTTGGCCAGAAGTCTTTATATACTGGTGATCAACAGTTAACAAGTTTGCTGGATGTCTGTCAATTTTTTACTTTTATGTTTTGCAACAGTAGTAAAATAATAGTGATAATAATGCAAGGTAAAACCATTCCTTCATGCTTCTTCAAAGGTTCTCCCGACAACTAACAGGAAGAAGCTAAAGAAAATCAGAATGTTTCTAATTGAGCACTTTTTTAACTACTGAAGTGTTAAAGAAACATTTTTTTGCAGCTTGAAATTGGAAATTTGTCATTAGTATATTTTCTAAGACTCAAAGAAGGTCTTGTTGTTTCATATCTAGAAACATCTTCATAAACTAACACACTTCAATTAAAAGCAATATAAATTGTCCTTAATTACAAACAACCATGCTTAAATTATCTTAATGCATTCATCAATCATATATATTATGAACACACCCCAAGTTAACTAATTATTAACTACCCCTGCAGAAAGTGTAAGTTTCTCAAATAGGAAAATTTAAGTGGATTTATAATTAAAATAACTGAAAGGTGAATTCAGATTAATTTGAAAATAATACACATTCTGTTAGGGCAGTTTATGTGGAAAACAGTTCCATTCAAATATTCATATAGAACTCTCATAATATTTCATGATTAATATCTATAATTAGAGTCTCATGAGTCATTTATGAGTCCCATGAAACAAAAGAACCAGTGTATATTTTACCTTAGGCTGAATGGCACAGGTTGGAGCTGGCTTCAGAACAGGGAGTTTGACAGCAAGGAGGAGTATTTGAAACTGATCTAGGATAGCTTTAAGCTGACGTAGTGATCAGCGAAAGACATCATGGGTCTGGCCTCTAAAATTCTCATCAATGAAATGTACACCATCCTAACATGTCAATCAAAAGCCATTAATGAGCATCTAGTGCTGAGGCACGCTCAGCGGAGTGAACACACATGCACACAGGGACACACAGAGGAGGTCACCCCACACACGACACTCTTCCAACCACACAAGCCAGCAGTTTCATAGAAAAGAACGTAGAATGCTCACAGTTGCCAAAATGGATCATAACATTTTGGGTCTGGATGATATTGTCTATGTTTTCAACAATAGAGCAGATTAAAGAGCCGTTCAGTCGACACTGGAATCAAACAGAAACTAAGAAAGCCACTGTATTCACTTTATCTTGATGAACTAATCTTAATTTCAGATTTCTAAGATCCTGGTTTTCCCCAAATAGAAAGTGAATTAAACATTGACTTTTAAATTTTGTAACACTTTTTCTCCTCTTTCAAACGTGGTCAGAAAGCTGGGGCGTAGCTGATGTTCTTACCCGCTTTTCTTGGCTTCTCAAATCTTTTCATTTAGTCATTACAGAAGTAACTGTTTGCTGACTATAGTTTACACTGCAACCCTAAATGAAGTGTTTCATATGGAAACGTGCCTGTATACCGCATATAAAGATTTTTCTCCTGTGTTTTCATACAAGATAAGAGTCTGAACCATGAGGAAAATAAATTTCTCACCAAGATATGAGGTATACCTTGGGACAGATTAATGTTGTCCATTTCTTAACTTTTACAGGAGCCACTTTTAGACATAAGATATTTTTAAGTTTTATTATGTTTATGAAATGTTATTTTTACCATGTTAAGATCTCTGGGTGCTTTAAAGTGTTGCCAGAAAATATTTCACATAGGTGAAAATATTTCAGTAAAGAAATGTCTAAACAAGTCATCCAATGACATTGCTTTTTAAATTTGATCTACTGAGCTTAAAAAGCTTTTCATTCTTTCTCTATTCAAAAGCATGCAAACCTCCTTCTGTCTTCCCAGAAATCACTGCAACAATCTGTTAAGCAGACCTCAAAACGCTTAAAAACTGAGAAAAAAATGGTGTAAATCCTTCATACTTTTTTTTCAAAACAAGCCAGAATGTTTAGAAAAAATGCGTTTAGATGGCATTGATGGTCTTTTATGTCTTTGATATCTGCTTCAACAGATTTTTGCAGAAGCTGGCAAGACACGGCAGCTCTTCGGATCAATAGGCAAGCCTTCATTCTGGACCTGAAACACCTACGCGTTCGCAGTTCTAGGATGACACAGACAGATCAGATGCCCACAATGCCTCATTTGGTCAAAGGGGAATACAGTGACAAGAGTCTTAACTATGCAGTGCACAGCTTTTAAAGTCAGGTTATAAATGTTTTCTTCAGAATGAACTGGTCATGGAAGCATCATCTTGGATTTGTTCCTCTGAACTGCAACATGTTCCTTATATCTGAGTGCTATGGTCTTTAGTGCCTCATTTGGTCAAAGGAGAATGCAATAGCAGCCTACAGTGCAGTTAATACCTTAAAGCCCCTTTTCTGTGTTTCTCAAAGTGAATTTTTTGTGGAAGTAAAACCTAATCATGAATTCGTCAAATTTCCTGTATTTGGTCAAAGGGGAATACAAGAGGCAACGGCATTACTTATGTGCAGTGCACACCTACAATCTTAAAACACAAAGGTGCCACCAAAGGCTCTTTAAGTGGTGCCACAGAAGAACCACTTTGGTTTACCTAAAAAAAACATGTTAGAAAAAGAGATTTGTGAGCATGAAGAACTTCTTTGTCACGTTCACACATCTCGTTTTAAAAGATGTTTTTCTAAGAAATGTCCTTTGAAAGTGCCCCAGTCAGGATAATTTGAGTATTGAGTAATTTATCTTTGGATGTTTAAGGCACTACACTCTTAAAAATAAGTTCTTAAGAGAACTTTTTAATGAGATGTGTGAGTGTGAATAACCTTTTGAAAGTTATATAGAACTCGCATTGAAATAAGGGAACCAGGGATAACTTTTACATGACATCATGCAAAAATCATGCACCTTTACTTTAAGATTGTAGTGCCTTAAATAAAACTGTGGTGTTTTAAAAGCTGATGTGTTTTGTGAAATGGTCGTGGACCAAAGTATTTGTGCTTTCCGAACAGATTGCAGCATGATCATTATGTCTGGGAGTTATTTCTGAAGTTATTAATTTTTTATGTTACGGAAGAGTTATTTTATGCATACAATTACACTGATATGCATCGGTTTACACGTATTTTAGCACTCCAAATCATTCTGAATGATTATTTAACTGGAGATAGAATGATTCTCTTTGGTTTGGAATGTGCCTTCTAGAATGCCTCCCAAGGTCATCTGCTGACACAGAGGAGGTGGGTTGTGGCACTTGACAAGCACTTTGTCTACGGTGCTGTGTATGGATGTCATCACCACACTAGAAGCTCAAGGCAGGCAAGCACATTGCTCAGCTGACATCCATCAAAGCATGCCACACTGCTAGGAATTGTAATACATTGGATTTTCAGCACTCCATAATGCGAGAAGGTCATGATCAACAACTAAACGTGACACATAGAACTTAAACCTCCACAATTTACTCACCAGACACATGACAAGGCCATTTAATGCATGGAGATCACTTGAAACAGCTGGGTGAAATGAGTGAAATGAGCAATGTGAAGGATAGCATAATCTGAAAATCTGTGATAGTCATGGTTGTCACCAGTGCTCATCTGTGGTCATTACGAGAGAAATATAAACACAGTGGAGAAGGTGATTAGCCCGTTCACAGACCACCTGCAATAGGAGGCATGATAATGTTTGCTGAGAGTCATAGCATGGGTATGGATGTCAATCTTTGGAGCTGACATCCAAGGCTTTGGAGTACTGGTGCAAAGCACAAGATGGCCACTAAAGAAGACTAACAGGTGGCGTGGCTGCTTAGGGCCAAACCAAAGTCTGGCATTATGGTGGATGACATACTAACCTTCTGTAAACCGCCAAGCAGTCAGTGGATTGATGGTCTGGCAAGTTCAGTGCAACTCAAAAGTGATATAACACCCAAAGAAAACGAGTGGCATGATGCTGAGGCTCTACTGCAAGTGCAGGGCTGAGAGGAGGGGTATTTGCAGATAATCTCCTTCAGCGTTGCTTATGCATCAGTGTTGTGACAGCTTTGTAGGAATGCAATACACTTGTTTGCACCCAATAATATGATCCTTGGCTGATCTTTGATGATCAGCGCAGTTAGAATGTTCATGCAAGGAGATCTACTCTCATACCATTCTCACTTCAAAGCACAAGAGATGGAGCTCAGCAGTCCTACCTGCATGTGTCCGGACACCCGTTTCAGGCCACAGTGAGATCCATCTGCTGGGGTCTGTGATGATCACCAGTTGCCTAACTGGGCCATGGGGGGCCTCGTCAAATGCTTGGCCGAATAGCTCCAAGAGCCTGCTGAGGCTCATGACAGAGGCAAGTAGCTACGTGGCCTTGGAGTCATGTTGTAGTGGCCACCCTCGCTGTCATGGCCAGTGATTGATGGCTGCTGGGGTCATGTCGCTCTCAGGCACCTCATATAAGCTGCCCCAGCTGATCCGTAAATGCGCCCGCCGGAGGTGCCAACACAACTGCTGGCTCCCTGAACGGCGAGATGACTCAGAAAGACAAACATCTATACATCTACTCATGTGGTCACCTGTTCCAAATTACACTTACATTACATGTGAATTTTACTGTCATGTTTGTGAGTGATGGAGCTATAGCATAACAATGGAACAGGCAAGAGCTAATTGTACTTTTAAATGCACAGACAGTAACAGATGATTGCATTTAGATTGGAATCACCAATTTTGAAGTCACCAGTTAAGTATTGGTTGGAGTTAAAACGGTAACGAGTAATCAACATACTGTATGGCGAACTCAAGCTGAAAATTACTATCTCAGCCAAATATGAAGATAAAATATGATTTTCTGGCCAGTGGCTGATGTCCTGAATTCATTAAATATGTAAATAAATCTTAAATTCATAGTAAAAGTAGGGACTGTCAATGGAATCTCAAATCTTCTTACTCTTCTGGGCCCAGTTCACCAAAAGTGTCTTAGTGTTAAGATCATCTCACTTGGTAGAGAGAGTGTTGAGTGTGATGCTCACTCTGTGACATAAAAATCGTCTTTGTGCTAAGATGCTTTTGGGAAACCCAGCTGTGAATAGTATCAGACAGATGCCTGTGTCTAGATATGTTACTAAAATTGAGCAATTGGTATGGTGATTTTGACTATGTCAACTGTGTGACAAGACTACCATGTTTAGTTCTAGTACATACATGAATTCAGAAATGGTAAAACTGGGTAAAATGGTAAAACTTTCTATGGAAACTTGAGATTGCTTTGCGGAGGTCAAATTTCTATTTATGGACAATGCTCTGCTGTTCATCTCATGTGTCTCTTCATGTACTGGCCCAGATATGATAACGTTCAGAGGTTCTTTATGACGTGAAATACAGACTGCGTTCTGCTAAAGGCTCGGAGCTTCTCAGAAACTTCAGGCCAGCACCTCATAGCAGGTCACTAGTTCATTACAAATTTATTTCTACCTGACAGACTGCATTTAAATTAGGGTACAGTACTTTGTCCTTTAGGCTGTGGCAGTTCACTATATGAAAGACAATATGGACATATACAGCACTGTGCAAAAGTCAGAGACCCTACATGTATTTAATTTCCATTTATTCATATTTCAGTGTGAGGAAAAAAGGCAGAAAACATATTTAACCTTACATAGATGCCTCAACAACTGAATATAATACCAGATTTTTCAGTATTTAGTGTGTCCACCTGTTGGCTTTATTGCACCTTCCATTCGTTTCACTTGCTATCAGTTCTTTAAAGAAATCTGCATGGATATTTCTCCATAACTCTAAAGTTCAGTCTTAGAAGTTGGGTGCATTTTCTGCATTTCATGATTCAGAATTTTCAAAATTAAAGAGAAAGTAAAGCTTTATTTCCTCCTCTCTCACAAAGATTAACTCTTTAAATACTGTTTATCTGATAGGGACAGTTTTGGTGGTCTAGCAGGTCTTGCATGGTTGTTAGGAGTCTCAGTTTATCTATACCTTTTAATACTTACCGAACTCCAGTTTTGGAAACTCACCTTTTTCACTTATTTTTACCTTCTTTATGCAAGTGGATCACCTCATATTTAAAATCCAGAAGTGTGTTCTTAAAAATGAATAACTTAAAGGCTGTTCTGACTTAAATAAGTGAACTGTGGTCTCTGACTTTTGCACAGTAGTGTAAACATATGAAAAAAATTATAAAAAAAATTGAATAACATTAATACTTTTCACATTGAACGCATTTAGATGCCTGTTTTAGTGCCAAAACCCAAAGTATTTTTTTAAATTGTAATTGTCAAGAATCCTTTTCCCTGAAGAAACAGCATATAGTCAGTTATTACCAGCAAATAGTTTCATTTACAGCACAAATATTTAAAATGTAGCACATTGTCTGGATGTATTTGTATTGTATAATTTTCTGTGAATTATAGGCAGCAAAACTGAATTATGAAAAATGAAGAAGCACTTTCTTCTCCATTGCTAACTTGACTGGTCACAGTGCGAGTTTGAGAGATTAAGCCCCTGATTGACGGTCACACTAGCGGATGCCAAGAAACAAAATGATCTGCATCCGAAAGTTTTTATGAGAGGTGTGGATTTATATTATCACTCCTTGCAAAATTTATGGCGAAGATTTTTCACAGACGCAGTATCATGCCAGTTTGAATTTTTTATAGCTCTTTTTATATTCTTGTTGCTGATTTCCTGGTCGATATATGAGTGGATTCTTCTGAGAGGTGAATTTAGGCAAAGGTGTGTACTGCTACAGACCCCAAAGAATAGTTGGACATACTGCCACAGTGATACTATTGGGTTGGTACTTTGAAATGAGCCATATGTCCAAATCCCCAAGGTCACATATGTTCCTCTGTGCTTCCTGCTTTTTTAAAGGCTTGCATCATGAAGATGTCAGTACTTATTATTTTGACTCTGTGGGTCAACTTTATATTGTACATTTTACTCACCTGTGAGTGCATCTTGGATATAAACCTACTTGATTGAGTTGAATATCCAGCTCTTTCATGTGCATGGCCAGCAATTTGTTGCTTGTAATGCTGTCCCGGCTGCATAATTAAAAACAATTAAAATTTACCCATTCAGTGCATCTAAAATAATTAGTTATCAGTTTGAATTAAGATAAAGCATATTCTGCTTCTCTCTTCTGCAGTAGTAAATCTGCAGGAGTCTGATAAACACACCCATTTATATTAATTTTTGCCACATAGCGATTTTACATTCTTTAAAAAAAATTGTAAGGAAACTTAATGACTCATTTCTTTTACACAGGTGGTGATAGGAATTTGCCTTGTCTCCAAAGCAAATATAAAATGATCACCTATCCAGACAACCATTGAACCTACTTGTGTACATAGGCTACCTATGTAAAATTCATGATGGTAAAACTGTGGTAAATCAGAAGAAATATTTTTTCTTGGACTGTTTTGCCATAGAATGCCCTGCATGTATCTCTCCATTTTTAAATGGATTTAAAAAAATACTATTTAGGATAAAACTTTCTCTTAAAACTATCGCAAAACAATCAAGTAGTGTATTCACAACCATTTTAAGTAATAACTTTCTAAGATTCACATCATACCATTCTGAATTACTTTGTTTAGATCTTAATGATTTAATGATTCAGCAACTTTGAAAAATCAGTGGAATTCCCTTCTAAAGGCTTCCAAGTTCATCTTTTTTTTAGTTTTATTTTTTGAAAGGCTATGCAATTATTGCTCAGTTAAGTCCATTTTTATTTTTTGCCCCCTTTTAAAAAAGTCTAATTACTCAATTAATTGTCAAAATAAATGCTAGATTATTAAGATCTCACCTTAATACCAATAGGTGGGATCATGAAAATAATGAGAACAGCATAAAACACTTTTCACAGGTACATCTAATATAGGCTTGTATTCACTGTATTCACTTGTATTCATTATATAACATTAAATTCCATTGGCACACTGACTGGGCTGTATGACATGGCTGGCTACATATGCATTGCAGTAGGCATGGAAAAAATAGAGAATTAAAAAATATAATTAAAAAAAAATTAACAAAAAATTTCTGTTATGGTTGTCCTTTTATCTTAACTATTAGTTGATTTATGACAGTTATGATGTAACGTTGTTTTTCTCCTGTAGCGCAATGTTCACTCACACCATTTAGCAGAATAAGAGATTAATTACAGGCATATGTATGGGCAACTGCTCATGTTAGAGATGTGAAAAATAAACACATCCAGCACAGGAATGTAGCACCTCAAAAGTTTGGGAAAGCTGTTGATGTGATACTAAAACCTTATCAGTGCTGCGGCTAGCTTGAGCGCTTTTGTTTGTTCGGCTCTCAAACCTGCCAGAATTTATGGAGTGTTTTGCAACAGGAGCTAAAGGAGGCATTGGTGATTGATGAGGGTATGCGTCATGTTTATTTATATATGGAGAGCAGTGCATTGATAGTTCAGCCTAGTGCGCTGTATCATTACAGGGTGATGTCATCCAAGTATTGAAACATGTTACCTAGGGCAATGCAGAGAAGGGTTAAATGATAAATTTTCAAGCATGGTAAAAGTCTGTACATAGAACATATTATAGGTTGTGTCTGACACAGAGTACCTTTTAGATGTGCGTTCTCACTTTTGTTTTTTTTTCCCACTTACTCAGTAAAGAGTTTTAAGAAAAAAGGTTTAAAATCATTTTTCAGTTTCTCTCCTTGTATGGTGTGGCAGAAAACAGGCTGTTTTTAGGTGCACAAGAGTGTGATCAGAGTTACAATGAGTTAACCTTAAGTTTCTGCTCTCAAATATGAAAACCCACGACACTTTGTTACAAAAAGCACTAGGAGAAAATATACTGTGACTTAAAATATGAGGATGAAGAACTGTTAACAAAAAAATCCAGAAATTATTTTAAGTGAATAAAAAAACTGAAACGAATAAAAATTTTCAAGAAATGTTCTTTCTGTAAGTGTGTGGAGATCAACTAAGACCAACAGAACTCATGCACAGTGTCGACTGATAGTATAATCATCATCTGCAGCTAAAAATCATGTTGTACAACAAGAGTGGTGAAAAAAGAAGCTGTATTAAAAATCATACAGAAAAACAGACAGACAGGTTGCTTGTTCAGAGAAAATCAGAAGTATTACATATGTTAACCACCAGGTGGCTCATTTTCCACAGAAAAGGTAGTTAGACAGATAGTTTCTCCAGTTAGTTTGAATATGGAGAGTTTTATTTAATGAACTGCCAAATTTTCTCTGTTGGGTCCATCCTTCTGGCTGAACACAGTCCAAAAAAACATGCATAAATATTACAAAACAAGACACCACCAAAGAAAACAAATGATTTTTTTTCTCTTTTGTAGATGTTTCATTTGACATGGCAAATTCTGGTTTGGACCAATTTATCATGACTATATTACCACAATCAGTCAAGGAAGTGCAACATCTCTCAGTCTCAACATCTCATATTACACTTTAAAACAGAAACAAAATAATACTGTACATATTATTTAAACAAAGAAAAAACACTGAGATTTGTCTCTAAATACGCTGAGAGATATAAATAGCTGCCTTGCAGCCAGCCTGTATTAGAGTCTTCAGAATTATATAGCCAGGTACCTGAAGTAAACACAAAGAGAAGAAAATGCTAGATTATGCACTGGTGTAGGAACTCACCATTCGTCAGTGAAGGAAACATGGTAAGGATGAAAGACAGTTGGCTTTCAGTTCTGAACTATAGTCAATGCTGTCTCCCATCACCAACACTAATGTTTTCTCAGTGCCAATCCTGAGGGAGCCTTGCACATATTTCTATGCTCTAATACTCCTGAATCAACTCATCAGCCAACCTTCAAGCACTTGTATCAGGTGACAGAGAGAGAAGAAAAACATGGAGTGGAAGAGTACCCCAAAACTGTGATTGAAAACCATTACAAAGACCCCATGTGATAAATGTTTATCATCTGAATTGACACCAGCTTACTAAGATACCATAACACTTACTGATTCGGCGTCGTGTTCCAGACCAGTATCATGATGCTCCATCTCATCGTCACGAAACTCTTTAATCAGCTGGTTGAGTCAAGACGATTCATTTTTATGTTAATCAATGTTTGAACACTCACATTCAACATCTTGAAGAAATACAATTCAGTGGACACTAACAGGAACTGCAACAGTATTAAAATCAAGTAAACAAATGCAGATTTTTATATCATACCTGTAACAACTCGGTATATCTATCTGGGTCTGCTTCCATTAGTGCTCTGATTTGGCTGTTGTAGTGTTCTGAAATGCTCTCCTCCACTGCCACAGTGCAGGCCATCGCCCCTTCCTTACCCAGAAGAGCTGTGGAGGCCCCTACAAACAAAGAGATACCCATTTAATCGACAATACAAGGCCCCAGGCACTGTTAATATATTTATTGTATCAGTAATATATATGTTAACAAACATATTAAACGTAATTAAAGTTTCAGGTACTTAATTAGTCATTTATTTGAATTCGCCCTGCTTTCCAAAAGCAGTAAAAATAATCAAAAATCATTTAGGAGGAGCAAACCTTTTTGTATGTCCAAACTTACTGAATTGAGATATATAAAGTTGAAGTAAGATCTACAAAGTTGAAATAAGGCCTAAATTGCTCAATTAAAATCTGGAGTGTTGAACTAAGACTGAAACGCTAAATTAAGATCTACAGTGGTCATCTAAGTTCATTTAAACCCAAATAAACCACTAAAACAATGCTAAAAAAAAAAAATCTAATTTAAATCTGACCACAAACCTATGTTGGCTCACTCCACGGTGCTGAACAATATGATCATACTGAAATAGAGCAAAAATAAAAAATTGATCTACATTGGGTGTACCATGTTAGAAAAATCGTGCCACTGCCCAGCTTACATACTGTGTTGTGATGTTGGTAATCTGCATGAAATGAGAATCAAACTTACCAAGTAAAAACCCTGCAATGTTCCACAGAGGTAGCATCACCGTCGGCCTCACCCTGTTCTCCCCCAAGATCTCGTTGAACTTCTGCAAATGCGTTTTTTCTTGGTCCCACATATTCTGCAAATAAAGTACATTACAGATTTGGTATCTCAATCAAATATTACTCTTTGTATGCTTGTTTGATAAAATATATCTGTTTAGGTAACGAGATAACATAACTATTCAATACCTGTATAAGAGGGCCTGACTGGGTTCTTCCCAGAACAGCCATCTGTCCAGCATAGATGCGATTGGCTCCATATTCTCCCGCATGGTCCACCCGCAACATGCTGTCCAACATGGCTTTTTCTTCCTTGTCCCGGGGTGGTGGAAGAACCGTGTATTTTCTGCACAACATGGAGCTGTTTACTGTAACAAGACAGTAAAACATGTTCAGCAGTCCTTGTGGAAGGACATCTACAAAAAGATGCATAAATAATGCAGTACACTGGAGAAAAGACCTCAGCTCTGCATCGAGGCTGACAAATAAATGGTGCTCTGCGACTGGACTTCTGTCTAGAATGGGAGGATGGTACTATATGAAAACCATAGTCTCAAAGGAGATTACAGATTGTAATCCATCTCTTTCTTTGCAAAATTTGTTACCCCCTTGTGCCCCATTCATCCATTTTCAGGCCCAATACTGAGCAGGTCTTATTTGGGTGGTGGATCGTTCTCAGATCTGCAGAGACACTGGCATGATAGCGACGTGTTAGTGAATGTGTGTATAGAGTAAACAACTCTGTGTCACTGCCGGACTAAGAACAGTCTGCCAACCAAAATTAAACAGCGTCCTGTGGCCAGAAATTGACCACTGATGAAGGACTAGACGATGACGAACACAAACTGTGCAGCAATGGATGGGTTATCGTCTCAAACATTACATCTATTAGGTGTATCAACAAGGTAGGTGTGTCTAATAGAGTGGACAGTAAGGGTACAAAGTATTTACAAACTCCAGCAGCACTGCAGTGTCTGATACACTCATAGCAACACAACACACTGCCAGGTCAGTGTCACTGCAGCGCTGAGAATGATCCGCCACTCAAATACCAAGGTCCTGACCATTAATGAATAAGGGGGCTAACACATGGACTACAAGCTGTAACCGTAGAGCTACAAAAAGCACCTATATGGTATGTGGACCTGATAAAATGGACACTGAGTATAGGTACATGGTTATAGCAATAGAACCACAGTATAGGGCATTCAAACTCCTGAATTTGCTGACGACAGACACTACCCTGATGTTTGCTGCTGCACAATGGCTCTTCATCACCGTGTAACGTTTCAAACGTACCGGACATGTGTTTCACTTCAATGCCCTTAGGATAACAGTGTAAGCAGCAGCGTTGACGCCCCTATTACCTTCATGTTAGCAGAGCTGGCTAACTTGTTTAACTTTGTTTTCTGAGAGGTTGGTTATTGTAAGCCATACATTAGGTTGCTGTTGTGCAGCAGAACCCTTTAAGGCATATCCATGAATCTTTTCAGGCGTCAGCAATGCCATAATGTTATACACGGCCGCCCCAGAACTGGACTCCCAAAGTGGAGAGCAGGAGAACCGATTCTGAAGTTGTTAGCCAACCAGCTCGACAGGACAAACTGTAGTTACCTCTGTTTATGACAGCGGGGACGTTTCCTACGTTTATCGAATACAAAACTCGGACAAAGCCATGTTTCAAAGCGCAGTCTGTAGCCCTCTGCATGACTACTGCTGAAAGCGAAACACTAAAAGAGGCTCTGACACGGCTAGCAAAGGTTGTGTTTGGCGCCTTTAGATGACGTGTTGATGACCGCTTATTCAGAGGCGGGTGAAGTAGACTATACTCAGTTAAAAGTCCTGTTTGTTTAATAAAATAATGACTCACGGTGGAGTAAAAATAGCTGCAGAACAAATTGAGTATTAAGTCTAAAATTACCTGAAGTACTATGTTCCCAGGGATTTAAAACAAAATCTTATAAAATAAAAGTCATGCATGCTAACAAAAACAGTAAAGATACTGGAACACAACACACAAACATGCAAAACTAAAAAATTATATATTTGACACTGTAAAAAAAGGTTAGTCGGGTCCACCTAAAAAAAATGATTTCAGATGGTAAGTTTAGGTGCTTCTATTCAACTCTAAATAAGTTGAATGAAAAATGTATTTTGGTTAGATAAACAAACGCAGCATTTTATATCAGTTGAAGCCTCAAAAACACTTCAGATAAAGTTCTGCCTTGTTCCACTTTTTTACAGTGTACTTGTTTTATTCTGATATACTTGCCCTAGTAAAATGTCACTTTATTGCCAACAGGTGGCACCTTTGCACTGGTTGGAGCATTGACAGTGTATATAAACTAGACCCAGTCATCCTGTTCTTTCCAGTGAGGACCAGGTGAGGTCAACACATCACTTCTTTGTCGGCTTCTTGTGTGGTGGATCATAAATATACATATACACTATATGTATATACAAACATACATTGGTCTTCAAGGGTTCTTTAGTAAAGAAAATAGTTCTATATAGAAATCATGAACACTCAAAGAACTTTTTCTATGATTAAAGGGATCTTTGCATAATGAAAGACTGATGGAGAAAGTTGATTCTATATAGAACCTTTTTTTCCATATATCACTCAGAAGGGATTTTCTGTTCTGACAATGTTGAGCTTGTAACCATTGAAGAACCCTTTTGGGTGCTATATAGAATGCTTTTTCAAAAGGTTCTATATAGAACCATCTATAGCACATTCTTCGTAAATCTGAAGAACCCATTCTTGATGCAAGGAAATGCTTTAATCGTACAGAGGATTCTTTGAGTGTTCATGGTTCTGTGTTGAACCATTTTCTTTACCAAAGAACCCTTGAACAACCATATTTTTTAAGAATGTAGACATACATATAGCATTGTAGCATGTTCAAGAAATGGTTTGGCATGCCAGTTCTAGGTTATTTGTTCTCTAGCATTTTTTCTATTGTTTAATTTTGCTTAGGACTCTGATTGGAGAGGGTGGAGCTAGTAACTGCCCCAGAGTGTGGGTGTAGAGAGAGGCATGAGCTGGGGTTAAAAAGCAAGCTATTTGAATACAAGCTGTTAGACAGAGAAAAGCTTTGCTTGTGTACAGTGTGGCTGTGGCCAACAAAAGCTGGAAAATAAAGCACAATGACGAAAGCAGTGCCTCTTTTAATAGTGATGAGCACTACAGTTTTTATATCTGTGCATTGGTTAAAGGGAATGTGTGAGAATGCACAGGCACTTTAATGACACACATCTAAAGTGTTTGGTGCAAATAACCGAACTATTTGTAGGAGCTGTCCTGCAAATTGTTCTGAACTATGTTGAAGGGAACATAAATTATCACAACCTTTCGGCACGACAATACACTTTCACCATACAATGAATTTGAGTTGTTTGTGTAGAACAGGCGTGTCAAACTGGGGTCCTTCTGGGCCAAAGTACTCCAGACATTAGCGTTTACTCTTGTCTTACGCTCTGAAGTCATTTATGAAGGCCTTGCCAATTAGCTGATGAGCTGAAACAGGTGTGTTTTATGAGGCAGTGTGCTGAAGCCTGCAGTGTTCTGTGAGGACTGGAGCCTGACACGTGCAGTGTAAAATATACTGTAGAACTAGAGTTGAGAACAAGAGAAGGACAACGCAGTGAAAACAGCCTCAGCTAAACATGTTTTATAATGCTGATCATTATAAATCAAGCAAATAAGAAATAAACAAACAATAATGGCTGTAAATTATAACTAATTGTAATAAATGTCCCATAATAAGTGTAAATGTATACAATCAATGTAAATTATTGTAGTAAAAATAATAACAGTTGTTCTTCTTATTATTATTATTGTGTTATGCTCTAGCTCTGCTCCATGCTTTGTATTACTGAGGATCTTCAACTTCAAATATTACAGGGCAGTCTTACAAGTCACAGTTTTATCACATTATATTCTGTACTATCATGGATAAAATAACATAAAGTCTAGTCTCTATAGAAAAGAACAGGGCCATAGACATCTCTAAAACAGCTCAGTTGTGCCTTTTTCTTTGGACTGAAATCAGCCCAAAATAAAAGGAAGTGAATGGCTAGCTTCCCTCAAGTGGTCTACCTAAGCAGGTGACTTCCAGGATCACACTTTGGAAGGCAAAAGCTGGGGGTCTGGGTTTGAGTCCCCATATTGTCTGCAGTCATACCATATGTGCAGATATATGAGTCTGTATGTTTAGAACTTTGTAGAATGTGGTTTTGCTTGCATAATGGTAAATTCTCTGCATAAACATCTGTGACTGTGTAATTTCACCTGTGTAATGCAGTGATGACACTGAGTAAACTTTGAGGTTTTCAGTAGCCTTCGCAAGCTGATTCGAGACCGGCTGTGGTGTTCTATGATGGTAAGATTAAGGGCTTTAGTCAGTGAGGCTGCAGGCTGATTTTGGAACAGTGTCACATAGAGAGATTTACACCTGGAGCCATTGTTTTAATGGTGAAAGATGCATTAAAAAGAGGGTGTGTTCTTCAGGTTCTGCTTCTTACTAAGAAGGTTGAGTAGGAGAATTAAAAATATGCATTACCATTGTGCAAATTGCTATCTAATCATTATTGATTTGTTGAAAAGGTAAATTTTAACTGATGTAGTCAAGTTTAATCAAGTGCTTAAACCACTTGAGATAAAATTATGGAAGATCTCAAGAGGGGTACCGGAGCTATTACCTGTATTTCGGTAACAGTAACACACAAGGAAATTAACAACACCTATAATGCAGTTACATATATGCACTTAGAGGGAAAATGTATTAATTTGTTGGAATTTCTTTATTATTTAATGGTTAAAATGTAAACAAAATCATTTAGTGGTTTGATGTGAAAAGTACCATTTTTAAAGAAACTTGCTGAGTCAGAATTATTCACAGTGGCGGTGATAGGAACCCGAGGTCCGAAGTGTTTAATGCCACTAAAAGCTGGCTCACAGAAAGTTTTTGCACAAAATGGTTATGAATACATTGGCTAGTTTTGAGATATGATTTTGTCCTAAAATGTATTTTATGAAATACATTTATAGTGAAGAGGCACATTTAGAGCATTGCAAGACAAAATAGTCCATAAAAAAAACTTATGATTTCAGATTTATAACTTTTCTTCCATCATCAACCTCACATATAAAACTCAGAGGACACATGTAGATTCATGTTCCTGTAAATATATCATAAAAATATCAAAATATCAATCAAACAGACTGAATTGGATTCTTTAGAGTGTTTGTTGTTGCACTTGCAGGCTGAGTCTGAAGTGGGCCTGCATGGCTGGAAGGAGACAATGTGTTGTTCACCGCTGCTCCATGGCTGGGGTCAGACAGCGAATAGCTGTGGCGAAGATTCGGCTATGGGCCCCAGGCTAGTGTGAGTCAATGCGTCTGCCCAGTGCAGGGAGACATTACACGTCTTGCATTGACGTACATACGGGGTTGGGGTTTGGTCTATTCAGTATGCATAAATGCCTTGAGTGTATTATTCCAAGACTAGTAGCCAAGTTAATGAGGGGGATCAGTGATGGCAGATGAGATTCATAGCTGCATATACTGGCTACTCACTTTTGCAGCATTTTAGATGAGATGTCTGGGAACCTGTGTAGTTTTAGGGAACAAACTACAAGACAAGATTCAATCAGTTTGAATGTACTCATATCAAATGTGTTATATTGGTACTATTGTATGTGCAGTAATGTCAAGTAACATTTATCAAGTGCATCTTGACCTTATTCCAATATCCCTTGCTCAAGATATTGAAGAAAACCTCTGGAATCTTCTTGATTGCCCTGAGAGAGAATTGTGTGCAACTGGGTTAACCAGATGTTTAGACTGCTTGGCTCTGAAAGAGTTTCTCCAGACATAATTTCGACATCACACTCATTATATTAGAGTGTCAAGGAAGGAAAGGCTCGGGATGCTAAATCTGCAGTAGGTACGTGTGTTTGTGTATATGTGAAGGTTTGGTCGTGTGGGAGCTTAACAACATCCCTTAGACACATTGAGAAACATTGTTATCAGGGGGTAGAAGTGGTAGCCTCCTTTTGTCTTTTTGAGCACCACCTATGGAACAGAATAAGATGCAGGGAGGAGGCACTTTGGTGTTATAGTGCTTGGTCAGGAACTGGGTCACCTCTAAGGCTGTTATGCAACACTGGTTCAGTACAACCGTGGTCCAGCACTTTCCATTTAATTGTTGCCTAGCGGTATCCCCTTGGAAAAGGCGAGATGTCTCGTAAAAGCAATGTCAACAACACCGAAAAATCAAATTCAGATTGAAATTTGCGAGCTCTTGCAGCCACCCAGCTCCTTTTATAGCAAGCTATATAGGGCCAGATTGAGAGAGAGACAGAGACAAACATTTTACTGGTTGTGTTTATGCTCAGAAATGTCTCTCTTCATCTTCAGCCCTTGTTAAACGGGTCAAAACAGGCTGCCCTCACAGACAGCAGGAATTCGGCACAGGCCTGGTGGAAGTACATAACACCGCGTCTGTCTCTGCTTCTTTAATGCGGCAAAGTGTTGAATGCTTGCCCGTCTTGTTTCCACCTGCACCTGGCTGTGGGACCCTGGAAGCATCGTGCAACATTTTCTTGTCCAGACAGATCTTACTCTCAGTGGCTGGCAGAGAATTTGATTTTTGATTGAGCCAAAAAGCAAGTGACAGTCTGCGTATTACAGATGGACTGAGAGAAAACCTCAAGCTCTTTGATTTCCAAAGTACTTAGTCCACTATTTGTCGCTAAGTCTTTAGTGCAGTTACAGGAG